ATTCTTTAACGGTGTAGAAGTATTTTCAATCATATAATACAACGTAAAAAATGTAGGAAATAATTTTTGCAATGTCTGTTTGGAGTTGTCACACATGTATACTAGTTCTATAAATTTATGTTGCAGCCATAATATGACCCAAACATTCCCCCAGGGGTTGAGTAATTGGGAGTAAATCAACAGTTGTTGAAATATAGAATTTTAGAACTTAGTAAAATGCAAGATCTTCTCTGGTGTATTTAATGTATGATAGACATCAGTGAGATTCAGAATCATTTCAGTGACTTCCCTAAGGTAATTTAAGATAGACCAAGCAAATGATATATTAATAACAGTTATTAGTATAGATACTTAAATACCTGCATTCATAATGTAGGCATTCATAATGTAAAGCTGTAACTTACTAAACAATAGTATACTGTGCACCATATATGAAATTTTACACAAAATGAACATTTTTACTTAGGCTGCAGAAGGATAAGGGCCAAAAGCACTTATTCTTAATATCAGCCTCTCTTTCCTCTGAAATCCACTTAGCTCATTGCTTTTGATATTACAGACTCAAAAAATATATATTCCCTAACTGATCATTACTCTTGATTTCTATTACTCAATTCAAAGTTTTCTAATTGTGTTGAATTTTATTAAAAATATAGCTATTATAGAACTCCATTTATTTTATTTTTTTAATTTGAACTCCTTATTTGCTTTTCTTCTAGAAAAAATAAATCCTCCTGTATCTATGCAGGCAATTACCAAGGAAGTCCGAACCCTTTCAAATGGTGCTTAGTATTTTGAAGCATAAAAGGCATGATATTCAATTTTTCAATTTTGAGGATGATAATGACAGTTCTGTGACTACAGAACATTAACTCAAGGTATACTTACATTTCATGAAGTATCTAGGTCATATTAGAACATATTGCTAATAGCTTTCTTTCCTAATGGTTTACAATGAAAAAAATAAGATGGAGCTCAAAATTAACATTTAAAGATTGTGAAACACGTTTCTAAGGAAGTGCAAGTATTGAACATTAACATTGTGATAAACATTCTCTATCAAATCTGTCTCGAATTTTCAGTTCTTTTCATCCTATCGCTAAGTTCTGCCTTACCTTTATTTTTTGGCATTTTAGTGCATTTATAGATATGAGCATTACACTAAGAATAATGACTTCATAATCTCCAGTCAATATCACTCAGTGGAATTTAGATATTTTCAATATGAATATTGCTATCAGACTCATTTTCTCAAGACGTTATTTTGGCCAGATATTTAATTTTTCAGGATTTAAATTGCACTCCATATCAAATCTAAACAGTGTCAGATTTACAAGACCTTTCATAACCTATATAAATCCTAACTAAATTTATTCCATATCCATAAATAATGACCTTTGTGTTTAACTTTAGGCTAATTCAATAAACATTTAAAAAAATATTACTATCATTTTCATTCTAATCTTTGCCTCTTTGTCTTTGCAATGCTGGTCTTCCAGGTTGGATGGCTAAAAATAATCTTTACCTTTTTTTAATTGATTGATTGAAACTTAGGGAGGGGTAGAAGGACTGGGAGAGAGAATCTTAAGCAGGCTCCACACCCAGCAAAGACCCCAAGGCAGGCCTTGATCTCACGGTGGAACTGTGGGATTACTACCTGAGCTGAAATCGGGTCAAATGCTCAACCGACTAAGCCACCTAGGTGCCCCTTTACTCATATGTAAGGCTTATCCATGAAGCTCTGTTAGTCTGTTTCCTTCTGCCCTGTACCCACCCCTAACAACCATGTACATGTGGAGCATTTGTTTTTCTTCCTCTGAATTACTCTTACAGTGTATTACTTAATTGATTATATAATCTCCTGAGTGGCCTTAAATTGTGTCGTGATTATGAACTGATGAGAAATTTAGTGTCAGTGTTTATGTTAAGTTCATTCAGTGTGACCTCCAGTGTCTGGGTCACTTTGAGAGAATCTGCTACTGTGAAAAAGGTTAAGTGCAAACCAACATTCTTGAGTCAGGTTCTCAAGCTACTAAAAGATGTGAAGTTTCACTCATATTTTTTTTTTTAACTTTTATTCATTTTTGAGACAGAGACAGAGTGCATGTGGGGGAGGGGCAGAGAAAGAGGGAGACACAGAATCTGAAGCAGGCTCCAGGCTACAAACTGTCAGTACAGACCCGAATGCATGGCTCTAACCCATGAACTGCAATGTGAGATCATGACCTGAGCTGAATGAAGTCAGACGCTTAACCAGCTGAGCTACCCAGGTGCCCCTTCACTCAAATCTTAACAATGACCCAGGATTTCTTTCTAAAAATGGGCTGAGTCTCATGTGGCTGATGAATGCATTTATTTGTTTACTTTTTCAGTAAGAATAAAACAGGAAATAGTGAAGAAGCAAAAGGAGAATTTAAATAGTATATAGTATCACAGTGGTTTAATAAATACCATTAATGTGACTGACTGGTTTCTTTATTGACTTAAAAAGTCAATTGATGTACCTTTTGAAAAGCCCTATACTAATCAGGTGTATAATATTTCTTTCATTGTATATAGTCATTTCTACAGCATGATGTGATTTAGGTAACTAACTGGGAATTTAATACTTTCAGATCAGGTTTGGCATACTTCCTTTATAATTATTATCCCTTTCCAGGAATATACCCACCATAAAAAAAAAAAAAAATGAGCTACATTTTATTTTGCCTTTCTTGGCACAGCTGAAATTTTCTGTAGACTTTTTATAATTTTCCATCTAGTGAGGGTGCAGGAAACCAGAAGTCCTGATAAGCTACCTGACTCAGTTGACATCAGATAAGCTTGTCAAAGATGTGTAATCTAGTTTCTTGGATCCTGATCCAGTGTAATATCTGTCACACAAGAAAGACTATAATTTGTTCTACATTTAGTATGCTAGAATCATCCATTGGCTGACTGACTTCAATTACTTTTTGCAAACAGAAACCTTTATTTATCGCGGTAATGTGTTTTGTTCATTTCCAAAGTCTTAATTAATTTGTTACATGAGACTCTATCAAATAAAAGATAAATTCTTTAGATGTGCTGATTAATTTCTTAAACAATACCATGTTGCATAATAGTATTTCCTTATTTAAGAAAAATTCCTCTCTTTAAAAAAAAGCCTGTTGGGGCGCCTGGGTGGCGCAGTCGGTTAAGCGTCCGACTTCAGCCAGGTCAAGATCTCACGGTCCGTGAGTTCGAGCCCCGCGTCGGGCTCTGGGCTGATGGCTCAGAGCCTGGAGCCTGTTTCGGATTCTGTGTCTCCCTCTCTCTCTGCCCCTCCCCCGTTCATGCTCTGTCTCTCTCTGTCCCAAAAATAAATAAACGTTGAAAAAAATAAATAAATAAAAAATAAAAAAAGACTGTTCTATACATACATTTTTAGAATTTATTATGTAAAATAAGTTTATAATATGGACATTTTATTTTCCTTATGTCAATGTTCTACATCATCATGCCACTTGTTATTGCATAGTAAATGCATTAATTAATTTGATGTGATTTAAAGGTTTTTCACATATTTAATTTTATAAAGAATATGCACAAGACATGAATGAGGTTGTTATCACTATCTGTTTCCTTCTTCTGGCACCTCCTACCATTCATAAATTAGAAAGGGGGTCATGTGAGGCTACTTAAATGATTGAAATTGTTCTTCCTAGAAAAATATCTGATTGAAGTATGTTTCACAGGTAGTTTGAAGAATATCACCAACTTGTGTTATTTGGGTGCGGTCCAGTATTTTGTTATAACACTGTATTAGAGTAAATAAAAACAAGTTTACATATTATCCGTGGTTTTCTTCATCTTCTAACACATTCACAATGGTCCATGACATTATTCCGACTCTTGTTGCCATGTGTGTCTTCCATTCCTTCTCATTTCTTGACATGTTTTGTTCCTTGGTCTCCATCACTCTTTTCAATACTATTCCTGTCTCAACTGTATATTAAGAGATCCTTCTAAAGACCAGTTCCTTGCCTCCCATGATCTTGTCCTACCTATACGTCAGCCATTGACTCCCAGCCATATCCTTGATAATAGCATACCCTTAATGAAGCTCCTTTATAACCTAATTCAGGTATCCCCATCTGACTATCACTTCTACATATATTTCTGCCTTATTCCCTCTGGTACCTACTAGTATCTAATATTCCTTTATTTGTTTCTTTTTCTAAACTGTATGCTGTGGAAGCTTCCAAAAATAGAAAGTGGTATATAGAACCCTCATGTACTATCAGCCACTTTCAACAATTATCAATTCATTGCCAATTTTGTCTCATCTACTGTAATGTGAAGTAAATAAAGGTAACATTTCATGTTTATATTAATGACTATATTTTAGATAATACATGTTTATCTTTTTTATTATATTACTATCAACATGAAAAAAAACAATAATTTTTTAATAGTTAACTGGTCTTTTTTTAATTAAAAAAATTTTTTTTTACATTTATTTATTATTCAGAGACAGAGTAAGACACAGCATGAGCATGGGAGGGGCAGAGAGAGGACGAGACACAGAATTTGAAGGAGGCTTCAGGCTCTGAGCTGTCAGCACAGAGCCCGACGCAGGTCTCGAACCCACCAACTGCAAGATGACCTGAGCTGAAGTCAGACATCCAACCGACTGAGCCACCCAGGCGCCCCAATAGTTTTTAACCCCAGCCAGACTTCATATTCATTGATCCCACCGCCATTTTACTGCCTGTCACATCCATGACATCCTTTTTCCTCTGTCTAGTTTATTTTTTTATTTTTTTATTTTTATTTTGAGAGAGAACAAGCAGGGGCAGAGAGAGAGGGAGAGGGAGAGTCCCATTATAATCTAATCTCCTTATACTCTCATGGCCACAACTACCTCCAAGGTTACATCAAACTTTTAGCCTGCTCCATGTTTGTATCCCTGCAGCTGACTAAAGTTGGAGAGTAACTGACAACTACATTGACTATTCTCATTTTATTTACTTATTCTTCCATGCCCTCCCATTCGTAGTACAGACCAGGCAAAGGGCCTGGGCTGTGGTGTAGATGGGTGGATTTACTCCTTTCTGTGCAGTCAGTATAAGAATACAGCCTGGGGTAAGCACCATGAGGCTGACTGTTCTCGTTTTAAATTTATGGTGAGTCCTTATTACTGCCCTGTAATTAAACTGTATTTCTGTGGTCTACTCTCTTTCCTACCATCCTATTTAATACCTCTTTCTTGATTTTTTAACATGTCTTCCATAATCTAGGGTGTTCTTAGTTCCAGATCTTGCTTCCCAGTTCACGGGAAAAATTGAAGCATTCACAAGAGATCTTTCATAGCACCATTACCACACCTGCCTTTCCACCAGCATCTGCACCCTCATAGTTGGTTTTCTGTCTTGATGTTATGGATGATCTTTTACTGGTCTTTATTCTCTGTGCTCTGATTACTTTATGTTTACATTAGATTCTTTTATTACCTACTCAAAGACATTGTTCCAGCAATTCTTTCCTTCCCCACCCACCTCCCACCATCTCTTGCATCATGAATTTTCACTCTTCACTGGAGCATTTCATTAGCATACAGACATGCTATTATTTCTCTCACCCTAAAACAAAACAAAAAATTACAACTCCTCTTGACCCAGCTTTACCCATGGCTACCTCTTCATTTCTATGCTTCTTATTACAGCCAAATTACTCAAAAAGAGTTGCCCATACCTGCTATTTCCAGCATCTGTCTTCCCATTCCCTCTTAAACCCCTTACAGTGAGGCTTTTGCTCTTACCACTCCACAAAAACTGAAGTGACCGTTGCTGGTTCCTTCCCTTGTCTTAGGACTCAGTCCTTGGTCTCCCTTTCTATTTATCTAGTCTCCCTTGGTGACTTGGATTTAATTGTCATCTCTACACAACTGACACCCCATTGACATGTCTGGCCTAGACTTCTCCAATTAGTATTCCACTTGGCCCGTCAAACTTAGCTAAAATTTAGTGTAGCTGGATTCTTCCTTCTCTCAGTTGATGACAACTTGGTCCTTTAGGTGGATGAGGCTAAACATTTTAGAGTCTCCCCCTTTCCCCCCTTTCCTCTCCCATCCTATGCTCAATCCATTCAGAAATCCTGTGGCTCAAAGGCCAGCATTAGGCCATTTGATGGTGATGTCACTGATGGTGACTAGGACAAGGACCATCCTTCTCCTAGCTAACATCACCCCTCACTTAAATTGCTCCTTTAGTTCTAGCTGGTCTGCCTGTTTCTACCCTAGTTCCTACCCTTAGGATCAACACAGTAGCCAGAAGAATCCTTTCAAACATAAATCAGATATATTACTACCTCAATTTAAAAGCTTCTAATAGCTTAACAGTCTTATTCAGGACAGCATGCTGAAGGCTTTATAATACCTTCAAGGAATTGTGATTACTCTCCATTTTTCATTCCATTTCTGCTGTCTACTTGCTGTTTCTTGAATATGCCAGGCAAGCTCCTGATGTTGGGCCTTTGCACTGCTGGTACCCTCTGTCTGGAACACTGTTTCTCAAGATATCCACGTTGATGACTAACTCAATTCCTTTTTATGTCTCTGCTCAAAGGACACTTTCTCAAAGAGACTTGCCCAGAAAGGCACAAACCCAACCTTCTCAATTTCCAGGGGCTCATGATCTCCCTTATTCTGTTTTTTTCCCCAATAAACTTATCATATGATAGCATATTACTGAATTTATCTATTTATTATATTTATTGCTCCTGATTTCTTACCCCACCTAAAATGTAATCTTCACCAAGGGCAGGGATTTTGTGTTCTTCTCTAGCGCGTAGAAGGTGGTCAGTCGAATGATTCCCCTCTTTTTCGGCATTATTTCACTCCCACTGCTTCTCAGAGTCAATAATCGTTCTCTTGCCAATAGTTAACTTGGACTGTCTCCATTTTAGGGGCCTGTTTTTAAAGAAATTTCTCTCTTTGTTCATCTTCTTAATCATACTGCCTTTGTGACCTTTTTTTTTTTTTTTTTCACTTATTCTGTCTGTTAAGCTTATTTTAGGCAAATGTATTTAATTTTCTAGTCTTCAAATCCTATACCTTTTCTCAGCTTTGGCCCCTTCCTACCTAGTTTCCATTTCTGTAAGATTTTTTTTTATGTTTATTTATTTATTTTGAGAGAGAGAGCAAGCAGACGAAGGGCAGAGAGAGAGGGAGAAAGAGAATCCTAAGTAAGCTCCGTGCTGTCAGTGCAAAGCCCAGTGCAGGGTTTAATCACATGAACCATGAGATCATGACCTGAGCCAAAATCAAGAGTAGGATGCTCAACTAACTGACCGAACCACCCAGGAGCCCCTGTAAGATTTTCTTTCTCTGTCCCAGTACTGCCAAGACATTTATTATTGACAGCTAGTTTCAGAGAGCTTGCTTTTCCCTAGAAATGCTTCCCACAAAAACATGTAACACTTGTTTCCACCTTCCATCTACCTGTCCCATCCCGCTACCCTACTTGCACCCTTGCAATCTGTAATTTGGAATCACCCTTTGCTCAGCATCTTACTAAACTGCAGATTTCCTTTTATTTAAAGCCAGTATGAAATTATTTTGTGCTACAGATCTGTATGTAGTCACTTGTTTATTTTCAATATATTTTTGTATCTTCTATTTTAGGAAGCTGCATACACATTTGTGTATACATTTATAAGTAATATGTGTTTCATTATTTTCTGTTTTATCTTATTGCTGGAAGCAAGCAATTTATAAACCTTTCCCTATTGGGTATCTAAAATTGTTTTACCTTTTTATCTTTAATAGGTCATTGCTTTAGTGATGGATATATTCACAGATGTGGACATTTTCAAAGAAATAGTGGAGGCATCAACTCGAGGGATATCTGTATATATTCTTCTTGATGAGTCCAACTTTAGTCATTTCCTAAATATGACTGAAAAACAGGGCTGTCAAGTTCAACGACTCAGGGTAAGAATTCCATGTCTGTTTTTTCTTCAATTATTTTGTGTACCATTTTTATCTCAGTTGAATTTAAGGCAAGTTTAAGCTATATTATTCCAAATATATCTGTATATAATATGTATCTATGTCTACATATATGTAACACACACAGAAATATATTTAAGATAGCATAATGATTAATCGCAGAAGGGTATGCTTGTACTTTTTGAAATGTGACTGAAACCACACATTCTCATGATGGTCTATAAGATGCTTTTCTTGATGATGGAGCACTTAAGTTTCTGAGTTAACTTTGCTCAGTCATAATGAGTGCTTCAGTTTCTCCATGCATATAACCTTGAAACCACTGACTCAAGTGATTCTTTCATTCAGATGTTACTTATCACAATCATTAGGCATAGTGTTTTCAGTTACATTTGGCCTCTTAAAAAAAAGTGTGGATTTTCATTGTAGTTATTATGGAATCATGCCACTATAACCTGAAAGGCTGTCTTACAATAGGATCCTAGGTGGTTTATAAAACCGTTCTGTATAAATGTAACATAATGCCTCCTGTTTATGTTATGCTAAGATACATCTATATTTTTAGTGACTTTTTCTTAGGTGTTTTTTGGGGGGGTGATGTTTTAAAATGTGCTTTTACTATTTTTTGTTGTTATGTGTTTTTTACAAAAAAAGATTATTTCAAGTATACTTTTTTGGTACTAAGATTTTATATTGACATATATTTCGCATTCAAAATATCTCTTTTCTAGTTATAACTTTATATTTACATGTAATTCTAGAATATTCGAGTGCGGACAGTAAAAGGCCAAGATTATCTTTCAAAAACAGGAGCAAAATTTCATGGAAAATTAGAACAGAAGTTTTTGTTAATTGACTGCCAGAAAGTTATGTATGGTTCTTACAGGTAAGATCATTGTGTTTACCTCCAGCATCATTAATCATTTATAGAATTTATTAGTTTCAAATATTAATGTAATCTGTTTAGATATTTCTTACAAATAAAAAAGAACCTTTGCATGGAAGCTTGGAGACTTGGGTTTCAGTTCTGGCTGTACCTCTAAAGAACATTAAGACATTGGGGAAGTCATACAACTTCCTCGTGCTCCAAGTTCTTCATCCCCAAATTGAGATGGTTAACAAACATTTCAGGTTCCCTATAGTTCTCTAATGCCAAAAGTTTTTGTTCCTTATGAAAATCGTTGCAGTATGAGCTTAATAATAACATTTGTTCATAAAAATAGAAGCTCTTTATTGCTTTGAAGAACCTGTCAGACAGATTATTTTTATTTTAGTATTATTAAGAATCTGATAGTCAGTCATGTAGTCACTATGTATAGTACTACCCAAAACGCATTTCAGAGTCTGGCTGTTAAAAATGCCATAATAGACACTAGACAGGGTTACACAGGTTACTATTATCGGCATCATTCAAGGTCCCCATTGGGAGAATACCTCCTCCATTCCTCAGTTCCGGCTTGTCTCTTCTACATATGTCATCCCCAGTCCTTACCACTTATCTACAAAGCAGTTGTTTGCATCTACATTTATCAGTGATGAAACTGAAGTTCCAGAAGGTTAAGTGACTTGTCAAAACCCCACAGCTAAAGGCCAACAGCAGTCCAGGGCTGGCAGCCCAGTCCAGGCTCTGCTTGTTCCAGAGTAAAAGTGCTGCCCTAATACTCTCACACATTCTGGGCATCAGTCCTGAATGGGATGTACAATCAGATTGTATCAACAGGCAGATTAAAATACCAACAAGCACATGTGAACTTCTAGGTCACCAGGGCAGCACAGACTCCCAAGGAGCCAGGAGAACTATGGGGGTAAACAGGGCAGTGCGAGGGGAAACTTTTGCTTCTTCCCTTAATAATTTAAAAAGTCCACAAGAAGGAGCCAGTATGTTGATGTGATTGGCCATGGGCAAGTTGTTTAACTTGGTTCCACTTAGGTTTGCTCCGCTGTAAAGGATAATCCTTGAGCCTATCTCACCTTCTTGTTGTGAGAAGTAATGAGTTAATGCATCCGTAACCCCTAAAGTCAGCTATTATTTTAGGTATATTTTAGCCACTACTACCTGGGAACTTTCCCTTTAAGCTCAGAGACCTTTTTTTGAAAGTGCTGTTTGTAGTTCTAAAGGAAAACTTGTTAAGAGCAGAAATTACAACCAGTGCTTGAAATTAATGAGTCCCTTTAAAGACTCATTATATGTGTATGTATTTGTTCAGACCCACTTGGTTTTACAGGGTTTTTAATTGAAATTTTAATTAAAATTAGGAGTTCGCTTGACTTCTAGAATGGTATTTATTAATCTCACCATAATGAATGCTTTCTGTCTTTATTATTTAACTTGACTTTTAAGATTACCTTGAACAATAAATTCACCTTAACTTTGTTTTGCTACCACTAGGCATTAATAGGTGCTGTATATTGAGATGACAATGGCTAAACTACTTTCGAATTGATATTGGGAAAAGCAAACAAACCACAGGAACAAAAACCCTTTATCTTTCTATGCATATCATAAGCCAGAGGCAGAATTTAAGTTACTATTTATGGAAGTGAGGATCGAATGCCTAGTACTGCAGATGATAAAAATTCATCCAAACTCTTATCTAACAACTCTAATTTCCTTATTAGTCCATGTTAATTTTAAATACACTTCTTGAAAAAAATATGTTTGTCGCCCCTCTTTTTTTTTTTTTTTTTTTCTTTTCTTCTTTCTACTAATTATCTTGGACCTTTCCTGTTAACGGTATTCTAACAGGATCTGGTGGAATAATTATGAACCAGTCTTCATAGAAATTGGTTAAAAATTTATTTTTGGTGAAAACCAGTCTTTGTCTCATATTCCAATATCACCATCATTTTCCTTATAGCCCAAATCAAAATGCCACTGTCTTTAGTTCAAAATTCTTTGCCATAAAACGTCTTCCTATTCTAAACTGCAAGCATTTATTTCCAGAGAGGCCTGATGTCAGCACTAACCACAGTCACACATTGTGTGACGGTTCAATCATTGTGATGACAGTTTTATCGCAAAAACAGGACAAGTGTTTTGGTCTCTCATGATACTAACATTGATGAGATAAAACACATAGACTTTTTATCAATGTGTGCAAATTGAATTGTGAATTGGATGCCCTTGTTTGAAATTGTCGTATGAAATCTGGAACATATTTAGTAAAGTAATGTCTACAAATTTGACTGGGAGAGAATTTTATAAGCATTTTTTTAAATCTTGCTGTCTCTATAAAAGCTACTTTCACAAGACAAGTTTCACCGAAGTTGTTGGCTTCCAGGTGCCATCTCTGGTCAGACTTGAAGATTGTCACGTTGAGAGATCCATGCTACAGCCAGCAGCATGTCACTGCTTTCATTCCGTAGACTTCCCTGTGTGATCCCCAGCCAGGAACTCAGAGTTTTTGAGCCTCTTTTTAATAAGTAAATTCATAATCACATTCCCAACTGCAGGAGTGTGACAGTGGGTCTGGGGGGAATGGGAGTAGTAAGTTCATTTTATTTTTTATCCAGGTAAATATGTGCACACTTTTTTAAAAATCAAATATTACTAAAAGATATGTAATACAAAAGTTTTTGTTCTCCATGTCTCTCCATTGCTGGATCCTGATCTCCAGGTGCAATTGTTTAATTCTTTGAGCTGGTTCTTCCCATACTTACTCCATTCTCTTACATAATGTGATTATACTGTGAATGCTCAATCTATCACTTTTAGGTATTATGTCTTGACTTTATAGTATGATGACTGAGGGTTATATTTCTATTCACCCATATCCACTTTCCCTCCTGCTTGCCATTCACCCCGTACAGTTTTATCAAAATTGTTTGCTAAGTAAGAAGTCTCAATTTACATTACTAAAGTTGTGTCAGAATTGATAGCTGATGAGCCATAGAGTCATTTGTGATATGCTTCCCTTTTTTATAACAAAGTTAATAATGACCATTTGGCTTTGGTTTTATTCATTGTCTTTGCTTTCTGTTTATCTATTGCTATGTTTTTTCCAGTTGATTCTGAAGATTTCTTAGCACATGAACAACTTTTCCAAATGCTCAGTTACTGCCAACAGTTTGTCATGTCCAATCTGGACTGGCAGATCTTTAACCTGAAACACTGCTGGGGTTCTGCAATTTCCTGTATTCCTGGGCAGTTTGAGCCACAATTTCTTGTATACCATCTTAATCCTATTTTTCCTTCTTTTTTGTTTCTAAGTCATAGTTTTTTTCTCTCATTTGCTCAAGAATACTTTCCATCAGCATGGAATTTTTTTTTTTAAGTCCAGAAATTTATAATTTTAGGTGGTTAATGACTTAACTAGAGATGGAACTCTAAGCTGAATCATTTTTCCTTCAAATTTGAAAGACATTGACTGGCAATCAAACATGCTGTTGAGAAGTCTCAAACAGTTATTATTCTTTTTATGTAACTTTTTTTTTTCTCCTTTCTAGAAACGCCTGCTATTCTCAGATTTGTTATGTTTCTAGATCTAGGTCTTTTTTATTTATTGTTCTAAGCAATCCAAGTACTCATGTCTTTCAATTCTGAAACAATTTCTCATATATTCTTTGCTCATTTCTTCTCCTCAGTTGTCTCTATTGTCTCTCTCTCTGGAATTCTTATTAACTGGATATCTGCTCCCATTGTTTTTTTATTTTTTTCCCCTATGATTTTCTATCTGGGAGTGGATAGAATTGTAATGTCTGGGGGATTTTCTCGATTGTTAATTCTAACACATCTATTATAACTTAATTTTTTTTTTTTTTTTTTTTTTTTTGCTATAGGGGCAGGCACTTGGGTGGCTCAGTCGGTTAAGTGTCCGACTTCGGCTCAGGTCATGATCTCATGGTTTATGGGTTCCAGCCCTGAATCAGGCTCCATGCTGACAGCTCAGAGCCTGGAGCCTGGTTTGGGTTCTGTGTCTCCTCTCTCGTCTCCTCCCCTGCTTGTGCTCGCTTTCTCTCTCTCTCTCTCTCTCAAAAATAAATAAACATTGAAAAAAAAATTTGCTATCAAATATTTTGAATATCTGCAAATTGCACCATTTTCAAAGTATCCTTTGTGTGTGTTTTTTTTATAGATGCATGATCTTCTCTATTGCTTTGAAGACACTGATTATAGTTCTTATGTGTCTATGTTTTTATACATATTCTTAATTGTGCATTTTCTGTTTTCTCCATTTGTCTTTCTCCGGTTTGTTTTGGTCTCTGTTTTGCATCTAAGTTTTTAAGCTTTATAAGGAATCTTCTAAACTTTCATTAAATGTCTGCTGATCTTTTGCTACGTATTGATAAGGGACTCAAATGCTTATTGGAAATCGCATGGGAAATCCTTATCAACTGTTGGGTTTACAGGAGGGTGATTGGCTGGGGTTCTCACATTTTATAGGAAGTTCCCTGAAGGTCAGTAAAACAGTTCTTTTTGGGGCTGTTCAGTGTTTCCAGAGAATAATCTTCAAATTGAATATATACCCTTGAGTGTCTTCCTTTTACATGCAGTGATATCACAATATTGTTTTCTGATTTACCAAACCTGGAGAACTTTTCCAGTTGTAACATATTCCCCAGTACCATTACCTTGTCAGTTTCCTAAGCTCAACACGTGGAGGTTATTTTTATTTCACAAACTATACACATCCTTTAGGACATGCAAATATTCTGGTTCTCTCTTCTTGTTACTGGCTCAACATTTTTACTCTTTATTCCAATTTCTGTACTGGCTTAGGCTCTTATCACCTTATGTCAATTCTTTTACTCATCACAGTAAATGCAGTCCCTCATTCTTCACATCTGTGTTACAAAGAGCTACCGGGAAAAAAATCAGTCCTCAAACATCTTTTTATTTTAATTGATCTGAATTTGGAAATAAATCCTGCACAAACTCTCTGCTTTGCTTTCCAGATTTTCCCCCTTTGTTCATCAGTCTGTAATATAACTTGTTTACTTCAGCTAAACAGAATTTGTTTTCTCTGTTCAACCAAAATAGGGCCATTCTTGCTTCCTTTCTTTTCCTGTATGTTTCTTCTTCCACACAAACTGTTCCATGCCTTTCGTGCTTGAACTTCGGGGTTATCTGGCCTCTTTCAGAATACAGCCAAAACCCTGCTTGTCTCTAGGGCTTTTCTCATAGGTGATAGCTGACTATTCATTCCTTTACTTGCTCTTTCCCACAAATTTTGTATTCATATCTGCAGTGGGGTTGAAAATTCCTTCAATCATTCACATCGTGTCACTTATTTTAAGTCAGCCTGGTGGCCCACACATCTGCACAAAAAGAGCACCCGGTAAATGATTCTTCTCATACCATGCTTTCAGTAAGCATACTAGATAAAACTGAGTATATCAGAATAGTAAGATTCTTAAGTTGTACACTCTTTATCATATTTTGTATATTTTAAATTCTTACTCTACACATTCTCTTAGTATTTTCATCTGCCTTTGCTATTGTGTCCCCTCTTTAAACAGTAAGCTCGTTCATTGTAGAGAATGTCTCTGTCTCCTTTTTCCTTTATTAACCCCTATTATATCACATACAGTATTTGATATATAGCATACTAGAGATTCCTTTTTTAGCTCAGTGACTGTGTTACATTATCTAAATTTTTACATGTCAGATTTATATTTTTATGTGAAATTCCAACTGTCATTTTTAAATTGTAGAAATTCCACAAAGTATTATAAAGTAGTTACAAACATTAACTTCCTAGAAATTGTATTTTATATTAAAAGATCTCACTTGGCATCCCAAAGCCCTGGCTTCCCAAAGTATACTTACTAAGTAGGCCACAGAGATAAAATGCATGTATTAGCAAAGGCCTATCTTGCATTTTAACATGCTAGAACTATAAGGAATGGTAGGATTATGCTAGCAATTTGGACATGAGGAAACTGAGGCCCAAGCTCATGTGGGTGGATAGCTCAGCAGAAGCCAGGTCTCTCAACTTTCCTACTGATATTGGCTTGCCTGCATTCTGCCAGGATGCTCTATATAAAATACAATGTTTTTTATTCCATAACATCTTAGTAGGCAATGATGCAAAATGTACAGCAGGCTTTTCTTTGGACTTCTAGAAAGTAATGTCAAAAATTATGGGTAGTTTCAAGGCCAGGACTTGAATTGCTTCGTTATTTAAAATATGAATGGGGGCTGGCACCTGGGTGGCTCGTTTCGCACCTGACTTTGGCTCAGGTCATGATCTTGCAGTTTATGAGTTCGAGCCCCACATCGGGCTCTGTGCTGACAGCTCAGAGCCTGGAGCCTGCTTCGGATTCTGTGTCTCCCTCTCTCTTTGCCCTTCCCCTGCTCACACTCTGTCTCACTCTCTCAAAAATATACATTAAAAAATGTTTAGGGGCACCTGGGTGGCTCAGTTGGTTGGGCGTCTAACTTTGGCTCAGGTCATGATCTCATGGTTTGTGAGTTCAGGCCCTGCGTTGGGCTCTGTGCTGACAGAGCCTGCTTTGGCTTCTGTGCCTTCTTCTCTCTCTGCCCCTCCCCACTCATGCTCTGTATCTCTCTCCTTCAGATATAAATAAACATTAAGAACATTTTTAAAAAATGTTAATTATGAATTGGGGGAGTAGGGATTCCAGGGACTGCAAGCAAGTAACGATTGAAGATGTTCTAAATTGTCGTAGCTGAGGAAAACAAGCAAAAAATACTCTTGTTGACATTAAATGGCAAATTTTGCTTAGTGGATTTATATATTGTCCTTAATCTTTTAACAGCAAAATTAAAATTTTCCCATTTTGATTCTTTTTCAGCTACATGTGGTCGTTTGAGAAAGCCCACCTCAGCATGGTTCAGATAATCACAGGACAACTTGTTGAGTCCTTTGATGAAGAATTTAGAACTCTCTATGCCAGATCCTGTGTCCCCAGTCCATTCGCCCAGGAAGAATCAGCAAGGGTGAAGCATGGCAAATCACTCTGGGAGAATGGCACCTACCAGCGTTCAGTTTCTTCACTAGCTTCTGTTTCCAGCCAAAGAAACCTTTTTGGCAGACAGGACAAAATTCACAAACTAGACTCTAGTTACTTCAAAAACAGAGGGATATACACTCTAAATGAACATGACAAATATAGCATAAGAAATCATGGCTACAAGCCTCATTTTATTCCAAATTTTAATGGTCCAAATACAGTCCGTCAGTACCAATCCAGTCAATTAAATGAAAATTGGAAGAGGCATAGTTATGCTGGGGAACAGCCAGAAACAACACCATACCTGCTGCTTAACAGGGCTCTGAATCGAAACATCAATCCTCCAGGTAATTGGAAAAAGCCTTCAGATAGTCTGAGTGTGGCATCCTCATCACGAGGCGGCTATGCAGGTCACCGTAATGCACCTGCCCAGAGTTTTGCTGATCGGCTTGCCCAGAGAAAAACAACAAATCTCGCAGAAAGGAACTCAAATGTGCGGCGGTCTTTTAACGGGACAGATAATCATATTCGCTTTTTGCAACAGCGAATGCCAACCCTTGAACATACCACAAAGTCGTTCTTGCGTAACTGGAGAATCGAATCCTACTTAAATGATCATTCAGAAGCTGCACCTGATTCAAATGGATCGGCTCTAGGTGACCGGTTTGAGGGCTACGAAAGTTCTGAAAATTTGAAAGCCAACGCCCTTTATACTCATTCTCGGCTTCGTCCCTCTTTTGTGTTTAAACCCACTTTACCTGAGCAGCAGGAAGTTAACAGTTGTACAACCGGCTCCTCAAATTCAACTGTCGTCGGTTCCCAGGGAAGTGATACACCTAAGGAGGTCCTGGACACTCCTACGAGTGTACAGCATGTGACAGACAAGCCCTTGCCGGAATCAACCCCGAAGCTCCCATTGCAGTCGGAGGCACCCAAAATGCACACCTTGCAGGTTCCCGAAAACCACTCAGCTGTCTTACATCAAACTACAAATGGCCATCCAGAGTCAAACAACTATTTATATACATCCTTGTGTGTAAATAAGCAGACAGAAAATCCAAAGAATCAACAAAATGAGAATCTGCTCAAAAGGCGAAGTTTTCCATTCTTTGACCACTCAAAAGCCAATTTAGATCACGGACACAGTAAGCATTATGTATATAGTACACTCACCAGGAGTCGAGTTAGACAACCAGAAAAACCCAAAGAGGATTTGCTGAAAAGTTCTAAGAGCATGCACAATGTGACTCAGAGCGCGGAAGAGGACAGGGAGGTCATCAAGAGAGACCCTCCGAGTGGCACTACCACCAAGTCAATTTCCATTGCTGCTTTGCTTGAAATGAATAAAGATGAAGCTAGCAAAGAACTGACTTCAAAAAAGGAAGTTAAAGGTTCGCCAAGTTTTTTGAAAAAGGGGTCTCAGAAGTTAAGGTCATTACTTAGCCTTACCCCAGAAAAGAAAGAAAATCTGTCCAAAAATAAAGCACCTGCCTTTTATAGAATGTGTAGCAGTTCTGACACGTTAGTTTCTGAGGCTGAAGAGAATCAAAAAACAAAGAAGTCAGAACCAAAAATTGATTCATCTCCCAGAAGAAAGCGTTCTTCCTCATCAAACTCTCAAGGCAGTATTCACAAGAGTAAGGAAGATGTAACAGTTAGCCCATCCCAGGGGATCAGTTCTCCATCCGAGGAAGGTAGTAAAACAATACCTTCTTCAGGTCCAGTTGAGAACAAGTTCTTGGAAAGGGCAGGTGATGCTTCTGCCCCTAGATTTAACACCGAACAGATCCAATACCGAGATTCAAAGGAGATTAATACAGTTCTTGCTCCTGAAAGAAAACCAGCTTCTTCTCCAAGACCAAAGCCCAATGAGCTTCTAAGATCTCACTCAACTGACAGGCGCGTTTATAGTCGTTTTGAGCCATTTTATAAGATTGAAAGCTCTATTCAGCCTGCAAGCAACCTGCCAAATACTGGTGTGCATCGCCCAGAAATAAAATCCACAACTGTGGGCAATAGTTATGGCAGGTCCAGCCCACTGCTTAATTACAGTACTGGCGTATATCACTCATACCAGCCAAATGAAAACAAGTTCAGAGGATTTATGCAGAAGTTTGGAAACTTCATACACAAAAATAAATGAAATACTGTAACTTCAAATAGTTTTAAAAATACAAATGACTGTAACTATAAATATTTGTCCAAAGAACCCTGTGGATGGTTTTTGTAACATGTCAATAGATTTCTATAGGGACAGAGTTTGGGGGTATGATGTAAATGTTTACCAGTGTACTAATGTATACAGTAAAGTTCTGTGTGATAAAGTTAGTTGTACTTAATTGCAGTGTAGATGGAATGTCTCTATACACATGACTTTTAAATGGTAGTGGTAAAAAAAAAAATGTAATTGTTTTCTTCGGACTGAAAATCTTCTTAAGTCTCAGAATAGAAACTGTAGTGGAGAGATGGTGTATGGATTTTAAGCATTCATTCTAAAGCCTTTCCCTTGAAAAAAGGATCATTATACTCTCAATGGCCCTTTATAATATATCTTTATGGGTTCTCATATCTTCACATTATGAGAAAATAGGACAAAGCCTTTTTGGGTTTTAATTATCTTTAAATTCTACAGGGTAACTCATTATATTTTATTAGTGTTTTATTAATTTTCCTGTGGAACATATGCAACTGGTTGGGCAGCAACAGTACATTTTAAGTTATATAGCTCAGCACATCTTTCATTTTAACTGAGGTGTTTGCAGACTCTCAGCCTCATATAGTACATGGTAGGAATTTCTTTTCCTAATTTTTTGAAAACCATCCAGGTTGTGTTTCTTTCCACTCTGGACCAAGGGAGCCTATATTCCACTCACCAGTCAGCTGCTGAAATTTTATAACCATTCCTTCTTTGAAACTTAGAGCAAGCAATAGATATTTGGGAAACTTGAATTGTAAACTTCTGCCTAAATTTTTATCTTGGATTAGTATGGCAATGCTTAGTGTTTTGCTTACAAAAATCCTTGATCTTTTTTACACTGTGCCAAATACAATATGACTGTGCACTGTTTTCATAAAAGTTCTGTGATGAAACTGAGAATTGGTATCTGGCCCATTTCTTCCATGACGGTCGAGCCTGGTTGAAAGTTTTAAATCCTTCGATATCTTAATCTGATGATGATATTTACATCAGAAGATACCCTTTGCCTTTCTTAGAGTAATTAAATTAAAGGCCCACATCCATTAAAGAGATTTAACTTGACTTTACTTCATCCACAAAGTACAGAATTCAAGAAACAATGCATCATTTGAGAAGTGTGAAGTGTTTCTATGAGATTTTAAATATATTATTTAACAGCTTCTGAGCTGCAGTGTGGCCAGTATGTTGTTTAAAAATTCAAGACTAAGTTAAATAATGTCTATGTCATTAAAAGAACAGCCTTAAAATGTCAGTCATTAAAATAATTGTCCATAGTATTAAAATACCATGATAAGAACATGACAAGAGAAAACATGACAGTAGGGAAAATAAAACCTAACATTTATTGAACACTTTTATAGAACCTATAGTTCCCACAACAATTATTTTGCGGTACCTTTGTCCTCATTATTTGTAGGTGATGATTGAGGTGATAAATGAGAGGTAAGGCCCCTAACTCACGCAATTAAAAGGTAATGGTGCTAAAGTGTCTAACATGCAGTCATATCCCTCCCAAATGTGTTCAATATTGGCCTCACCTGAACTATTGAGAATTAAATAAGAGAATGTTTATATTTTCTGATTCAACAGTAATCTGCTAAGAAAGGTTTAGTTGAATTCCACTGGACAACAAGGACACGCAGGGGCTTAAAATAATCATAGTAGGTGAGATAGGGAATGAAATTGACATTAATTTCCGATTGTAACTTAGCAGGCCAGGTTTAATTGCTAGGCCACCATTTTGATCTTGTGCTGGTTAACCTGTGACAACAAAAAGAAGGAAAAGGAACTATAAGTGAATTTAACCTGTGTTTGTGCTAGGGAAAGCAGTTCATTGGGTTAGGAAGCTGGGCAGGGAATGGAACTCAATGTTAAATATATGATCCCCTTAACTCTTGACAATGGCCCTGTGAAGTACGTACATCCTTTTTTGCAAATGAGGAAACTAGTCCTCAGAGAAGTTACAAAATCTTCCAAGAGTTGCATGGCTCTGAATTGGTATAACTGGGTTTAAACACAAAAGCCTGTAGTTTTAATACCTTCTTTTTTTCTTTTTGAGAGAGAGTGTCACCAGGGGTGGAGTACAACGAGGGGTTGGCCAGAGGACCGAAGCTGGGTCTATGCTGACAGCAGCAAGCCCGATGTGGGGCTCGAACTCATGAACCGCGAGATCATGAACTGAGCCGAAGTCGGACGCTCAACCAACTGAGCCACCTAGGTACCCCCTGTAGGTTTGGTACTATACCTTACCATACCTTGTTGGCTTCCACTCCACCATGATTGAGGAACCTTTCCTGAAAGTTGTCTCTCTCCTTTGCTCTATCTTTACAAATTGTAGAAATATACCAGTAACTGTACAGCAATAGCATTTTAAAAACACAAATCCAGAATATAAACTCAGTTTAACATTATTCATAAAAGTGGGTTTTAAGACTCATAATCTTATTGTTATAAGAGTCCCATTGTTTTGGAAAGCTGTGTAATAGATTGGAAATTTGACACAGTTCCTAATAAATTAACATCATAAAAATAAAATTGAGAAAGAAAGTTCTTTTTCTTTCTTGAAAAATAATAACAGGAAAAGTAGCCAGTTGTATTTACAAAAATTTTGCATTTTTTAAATGACCTTTGGAATGTGCATTTCCTTATAATCAGATAAATTCAGTTGCAATGAAAAAAACCTAATTGCTAGTGGGTTAGTTTTCAGAATCCTCTGGCAATTATATAATCTTCATATATTAGTATAAAATTATTAAAAATCATTAGAATTGGAGACCAGTGAATGAGATTTTTCATTTTGCTCTTAGAAAAAGTCACTTTTGTAATTATGAACCATGGTCCTTTACCCACTCACCAAAGGCAGAACCCACAGCTAACCAAACCAAATTGACTTTAATATTACCCATTCTTTGTCTCTTAGATGGGGCAAGGGGATAATGGGCTAAGGGGATAATGGGCTAATTGTCTTTAGGCAGCTCTGAAATTGGAGGCCCTAAAATGTAGAGCAAGATAACTTTGAAGCTGAAATTACATAGACTAGTTTTAATCATGATTAATTACAAGCAAAAGCTTGTTGCTTTTTTGTACAGCCACTGCCATCATTTCTGGAAGCATAGATAGCTTTTAAATAGTCCCTGAATCCCTCCTCTCCCTAGTGGAATTGAGAAGTGCAGGGTGCTTTATTTCATCCATCCACCTGTGACAAGTAGCTTGGGCTTTTGCACAGATTTATATTCTTCTACCTTTTTTTCCCTTTTATTTATTTATCTTTTCCTCCAGAAACATCTGTATTTCAGAATCTATACTTTCCAAAGTTTCTGTGGCTGAGAAATTCCTCAGGGTTAAGACTGAGTAAGCACGTAATACTTAAGATAATTTACTCAAGAGTTTAAGTTTTAAACAGACACTATCCAGCTTTATGGATATAATCATTTCGAGCAAAACAGTTTTTCTCCCCATATCAATATTGGTGGAAAGATAATGGCACTTAGATGTATTTTCATATTACGGTTTGGTTTCCTTTATACATGTTTATTTTTTTTTTCTTATTTTTTTTTTTATTTATATATGAAATTTATTGTCAAATTGGTTTCCATACAACACCCAGTGCTCATCCCAAAAGGTGCCCTCCTCAATACCCATCACCCACCCTCTCCTCCCTCCCACCCCCCATCAACCCTCAGTTTGCTCTCAGTTCTCAACAGTCTCTTATGCTTTGGCTCTCTCCCACTCTAACCTCTTTTTTTTTTTTTTTTTTTTCTCCTTCCCCTCCCCCATGGGTTCCTGTTAAGTTTCTCAGGATCCACATAAGAGTGAAACCATATGGTATCTGTCTTTCTCTGTATGGCTTATTTCACTTAGCATCACACTCTCCAGTTTTTACTCTACATCGTACATTAGTTTGTACGCAGAAACTCAAAAAGATAGGTACAATTTCAAGGTAGTTTTGGGCAGATGTCTTCAGAATAGTTGAAGTGCCTACATCCTGAACATGCTGGTATCTCTCTACTATTATGATTGGGATTAGCCACATTTCTAATGTGGTGTGTTGAGTGATGGGTATATGTTGGCAGTCTACTTTTTATGGAAGCAAATGACCTTGTTTAATCAAGACGACATCTAGTGTGATCCAGACAAGCAAGAAAGAAGTTGAACTCTGGCTACATTCAACTTTAACTTTACTCCAGATTATCCAGTTATTGAACTCTTATTCCACAGATACTTGTCTTCGTGAATATCTGTTGACTCAATATGACTATGGCCAAGGGGTGTAAAGAAGAGTCTTTGTTTCACATTAACTACATGTGATATTGTTTGAAAAAAAGTTTGTCTTAATAGTCAGTTTGGTTCTAGAATACTTAAAATTAGAAGGATGAAATTATAAACCAAAGAGTCAATTTTTGTATACATAAATATTATCAAAGAAGTATTCTTCCAAATTAGCCTGGTTTTAGATCTAATAAATAAATATTAACTAATTTTGTACAAACATCAATATACTGTATGTTGTTTGTTTTTTATCTTCAGATATATATGCATTTCTCCATTTAACAACATGTTTTCACTTAGCTTTATATCATGAATTTAAATTTGTGCACATTTTAATGTTTATGAATTTTGAAATAATATCTTAAACACTTTAAGTTTTATTTTTGATTAGCAATTATATTTCATACAATAATTTATCCATATTTGATATCCAGTGACAATACTCTCCCTTAAGCACAATATCATATACATTCATTCTCTATTTCTATTTCTACTGGAATATATAGTTATTTTAAATAACTTGGCACTTTGAAAAATAGAGGAAATTTTGTTAAAAAATTGATAGCTGACCTTTGTATAATGTTACAGCATTTAGCTTGTGTAAAATATTCTTAAGGTGCATTTGTACTAGATCAATTAGTGACATTAAATAATCTAGAGTCTGAAAGTTATTTAAAACTCAAAAATGCATTTTTTCTAGAAAAAAATGCCCTTTATATCACAGATTAAGAAGCAGTCAAATACTGTGTATTGGGAATTAAGTAGTGTTGTTTTAAAGGCAAATGTAAGTAAGTATAATTTAAGTAGGTAAGTATAATTTTAAGGAAAAATCTTGAATTTTTCTCCATTTACCATAAATATAGATGTTTAACAAAAACCTAGTTCAATGGAATGATAAGGAAAATAGATAAGGTTTTACTTTTGTGACCATACTAAGACCAACCTTAGGTTGAGGTAATTGGACTAAAGTTGAAAGGGGACTGAAAGGAGTAAGCGTGTGCCCTGCCTGTGGGAAAGAATTACACGAGGTGAAATTACCTGAGCTGAAAGCAGTGAGAGACTGAAGCAAGAGATATAGAGATGAAAACTCCTCTGAGTTAACAAAATGCAACATGCCAAATGGGACATTTCTCCCATAATAATCTATTTCAACAATCTGCCTTTTTTGTTTGTTTGTTTTTTGATGGTCACATATATGCCTTTATTCTGAACAGCAAATAGGACACTTCCAGCAGTAGTAAACAAAATAATAATAATTTACAAAAGTGAGAATTTGGTGAAGTCTTCTGGTTGGAACTCTTGGGAGCTCATATGTAGATGACAACCCAGACCAGCAAGAAGCAGGACTCCAAAGCCCATGAAGAGCGAGGCAACCTAGGAGATGAGATCTTTGCTGATACATACCCCGACTGTACTTGGTACCTCATAAACAAAGAACTAAGCACGAAGAAATGCAAATGGCCAACAGCACCACAGTCAGATGGGGGAAGACAGCCAGCTTCACTGGGCTGGTTTATCTACTCACAGCCTCAAGATCCATTTTGCTAGGCACAGGAATCCACTCCTCTGCCACTGGAATCCAATCAGGCTCATTTTAACACGCATACTGGGAACCTACTGTGTTCCAAGTA